AATCCTAAAGACAAACATAGGAAGTAGTTACTATCATTTTCTCCACTTTTTAAATGAAACAGGTTTAATGGGCAAATAGCTTGTCCACACAGGGTCAATATTTCAACCTGAGCAATCTAATTCTAGAGTTTGTCCTCTTAACCTATTTTGTTATGCTACCTTAGGCTATTTTCTCAAGTCAGTCTACCATGTACTGAATTTAAACACAGGCAAATTTTGCAAAAATTGCATTAAAAACCTCTATTAAATGTAGAGTGTTAAGTGCATAATAAGAATCTAATAAATTACAGAGAAAACCAAATTTTAGGACTCAAACCCATTAACGATCTGACAAGTCATTAGACAGTTTAGCAACATGATTATATCTTACAGTGCTAAAATATGCAAGAGCATTTTAACTATTAATCAGCAGACACCAGCTGAAAGAAATGAAAGTTTGAATAAACTCTGCAACTTCTATCTTGCAGTTACCAAGTAACTCATTAGATCTCTCAGATTCCTTCTGGAAAATGATATATTTTATAAATACCATATAATGAAGAGTATTTACCTGATGTTTCTAAAACTCTTGGTTCAGGTTCTTCCAATTGTAGAAGCTCATCAAGAGCTAATTTTGCTGCATTGGATCTAGACTCCTTTTTATTTTGTCCCAGTCCAGTTTTGTATTGAATACCATCTACCACAGCACAGAAAGCGAAATATGGTCCCATAATATTACCTTGAAAAAGAATTCAAAATGAATGCTATAATAATTTACAATATATTCTTGCAAATGATGTCCGTATATAGGAAAATATTTCAGTACAAAAATTCTGGGAAACTACTTACTTTAGAAATACTAAGTCTTTTTATAGGGCCAATAAGGGTTAATACTAAAGCCAGATGGGCCCCTGAACTAATTCTGAGGATTCCAGTAGGTAGACTGGCTCTAGATTCAGTGTGAACAATAGGGACAGTGTTACAATACAGGGGATACATGGGGTGACAGTGAGTGTCTAGTACAATGCCTGGTGATTGTAAACACTCAAATATGTATCAAATAACCAATGAAAGGTAAAATGTGGAGACTGTATGTAGTATCTCAGTTCTTTACAATTGCAGTACAAATAAAATTAAATTCTTCCCATCCTTGGATTGCTCTAATACTTTTATAATATCCAGAACATAAGGAATTCCTTTGAAGAAATCTTGTGTGCCCATCAGGGCATTATGTTAAGCAAATCAACAAACCATTACAGTTTAGGGAAGTCTAGGGTGTGGGGGTTGGTGGCTAGCACAGAAGGAAAACCAAAACAAACAATTAAAAAAGATTAATACTAAAGAATTAAACTGAATGTCTGTCTCATCATTCAAGATTCCTACAAGGATTAATTTTACATAATTATTTTTGCTTAGCTTTCATATTTGTCTGGTGAAAAATGAAATGGATTCATCTCCTAAATTTACAGGTCAAAGATTTTTCTGTTTCAAGTTTTATTTGTTGGTATTAGGACTTTAGGAGGCCTTTAAGAGCCTAAGTCTCACTCTGGTTACAGATGGCTAGGTACAATGTCATTAACACATAAAACCCACTATTTCCACACATATTCACAATAAGATTAACTGTTTTTCTTAAGACATACGATCAAGGTTTTACAAGTTAAGTCCTGACTGCATCTGGGTAAACTGCTTTCCCACCAACATCCCACCTTAGCTTCCCAATTTTCTTCCTTCATGATCACCTGGTTTCCAATCCAGATTTAATACTAAACCAGAGAGCATTTTGTATATTTAACAAGTGGCCCAGATGATTCTTGTGTATAAGATGCATCAAATTTGTTAATAAGTCTTCTGTGTCAGAATGCTGAGCCTTTAAGCTTCAGCCTGTTTATAAACCAGATTTTCAAACTTTAGCATGGATCTAAATCACATGTAGGTAGTTTAAAAATACCGACACTCTAGTCTTACTACCAAATTTACTGAATCAGATTATTCAACTATACTCTGAACATAAACCAATGATCAATGGGTTATGTTTTTGAATAGTTTTTGCTCAGAACAGTGAAGATTTGCCTTGTTTTTTTCCCCCAGTGACCAATTGTTTACATTTTCTGATGGCAGTCCAAGAATAATGGAGAAAAGCTAATTAGTTACACAGATTAAACCCACCTTCTACATTAAGAAAACATCACCTTCTACATTAAGACCCTCTTTTTTTCACCTGTTAGTCTACTGGTATTTCACCTTAAGCAACAGACTGAAACTCAATGATGTTGGGATAACCTTTACTAAAATTGATAGCTTTAAATTCTTTTGCAAAGATGTTAGCTTTGAAATCCCTACTGGCAAAAATGAGTATCAGGAAAATCAATGAAACCAAACTACTTCTGTGTATGGGTGTACACACACACACACACGCACATAACCACATAAAGATTTTTTAAAAAGATTGCTTTTGACTCATACTCTTTAAGCTTGTCAATGCCTCCTAAGAGGACTTACTCTCTTATTCCTCCATTTTCCTAAAGTTCTTCTTAATCACTGGCTACTGTGAAGATTTCACAGAAATTGTTTCCTGCATTTTACTGATACGTACTCCTGTAGCCATCTTGAAGGCACAACATAATAACAGATTTTTCTGTTTAGGGGGCTTAATGGAGAATGGAGAAAATTCTAACAAGTCCATACTATACCAATCATGTAATGATCTTTTCACATCTAATCCCTGAATTTCAGAAGCCAAATTTGACCCTAATTTTTCTTAGGCATCAGCATACCAGAATCCTTCTCATAAGATAATCATAGCCTGAATATTTAACATCTCTAAAAAAGCATGTTTATTGTACAATAAATATTTACGTCCCAAAATAATCTGTGAGGCAGATTTCGGTTTAGCCAAAAAAAATTATGATTCAATGATTATAAAATTTCTATATGTGAGAGTTATTTGCAATGACTCAAAAGGTTAAAGTGTGAATATAAAAATTTCTTAAGTATACTTGTAAAAACATACAAGTAGCTAGCTAACCCTAATGTTAAGTGAAAGAACCAAATGTAGCACCACTGTTATGGTCTGCTTTTAATGGAAAATGTTTTCTAGTAATGTAATAACCAAATGACTTTGCACTTGCCTGTTGTTACGGTTTCCTTAAGGTCAAGCTGAACCCGCTGCATTTGTGCAAACTGGTGCAAGGCTGACACAGGGTTTATCTCTCCACGTTTGTATTTCATTATAAATTCCTTAGGTATTTTTTTTGGAGGAAGGACAGGATTTGAAATAGATGAAAGACCTTTGGAAAGCAATGGTTCTGGAAAATTACCTAAAAATAAATGTTTGTCACTTTGGTTAAAAAAACAAAAACAAAAAAGAGCAAAAGCACTAAATCCTCTCTGAAAATAGAAGATTGTCCCACATACATTTAGTCACCCCACATACTTAGTCTCATGTTTTTTTTAAGTTTCTACTAAACAATTTTGGCACACATGACAAGCACAACCTGTTATTGCATATATCTCTTGGAGTACTAAAAATATTTTGAACAAAAGGTTATATCATTATTCAGTGATTGAGGAATCATGGAATTTTAGTGATGTCAAGGTCCTCAGAGGCCCTCTAAGCCATTTTACAGATGACATCACTAAAGCCTAGAAAGGAGAAAGACACAGACCTGGGACTAGAACCCAGTTTCTGGCTCCCATGCACTGTTTTACACTGCCTTTCACACTGAATTCAACCTAATTTTTGCCCTTGCTTTATACTTAACACTACACTAAGTAACGGGTGGAATAGAAGCCAGTATAAATCCAGTTGCTGCCCTGAAGCCTCACCTCAAAAAAAAAAAAAAAAAAAAAAAAAAAAAGACAAATTTGAAGGGATTGAACAATAAAGGTGGTAAGGTATGGTTAAGTCAGCAGCACGGGGAAGGAGTTCCATGGGCCTCCTCAGTGTTGGGAGTCAGATCCCAGCTCCAGGTGGGACATGGCCACAGGTAAATGTATATATATGCAGGAAACATTTAAACCAGCGGCGCAACAGAACCTACCGGCCACCCTAGAATCTTAAGGAACTGAGTCATTATTACAAATGAAAGAGAAGTCGTACCCGTCACTTGCGTAACCTTGGATGCCATATTCGACAGGCTGTAACTTTCCGAGGAATATCCTGCGGGTGTGGTTACCGTCTGGGCTGATGATTGAACTGGCAAGTTCTTTTTCAGCATCTGGGCAAAACTAGGGACCCGGGAACTCTGAAACCAGTCATTGTTGCCAGACATTTTCTCACCTACAAACATGATAAAATTATCGAAAAACGAAAAACAAAATACTAAGTAAACTAAAAATACTTTATCTGGAACAAACCCCCTATGTCCATAAATGGCTTTTTACACACACATTCACATGACTTGAGCCAAATCCCTCTTTAAAATGACCTCGGCACTGCTCTGTGAGCTTTAACAGACACACAACTCTTACCACCTGAATTCCCTCCCTAAATTCCGCTACCAAGAGGGCAATAAGGCACAGCGGTCCGTGGAAAAGCCCTTAAATCTACCGGGGGGGTCAGAAGAGACATCAGTAAGGTCAGGAAAAAAGAGAAAAAGAAAAAAAAATATTATCTCGGAGGTGGCCTCAGGAGTCCTGGCCCAACTCGCACCCACCGAGGCTGTCCTTCCTGCCCTCTCCGACGGACCCCGTGGTCAGGCAGGCGGGCAGCCGCAGGCAAGAAGCTTGCCGGCCGCCGCCGCCGCCGTTGCTTCCTCCTGCCGGCCTCAACCTCTCTCTTCAGGCCGCTCTGCGCGACGGCCACGAGCTCAAAGGCGCATCCTTCAAAAGCCGCCTCGCGCTGCTCTTGTACGTGCCGGCCAGACGCCCCCGCGCCCGCTTCGTCCAATCACCAACCGTCTCGGTGGCCGTCGCGCCCGCCTCCGCGCCTGCGCCTGCGCCCGCGCTCAGCCCGCCGCGCTCTGCGGCCCGCGTTTCTGAGGGAAGAGATGTCGAATGTCGCGCGCGTTCCAGGCCGCGTTCGAGGCCTCGGTGACGCCGACCCGCTTCTCAGAGCACGGGGACCTGGGCCGACTGGCCGCCTTCCCTGCTGAACTACGGTGAAGTCGCGCAGTTCAGACTCGTCGCTTACTGCCGGGTGCCCAATCCCGCTCTCACGGAGGGCCCTGTTCGTTATCTCCACTACAGCAGTTGTCTGTTCCTGAGGCCTCCTTACACAGGGTGCTTGGAGGCTGCCCCGAGCGTAGTTTCAAGAAAATCCTTCTCTTTATCCCCATTTTGAGAAGGCGCCCGTGGAGAAGGCTTGTCCTTCACGGTGTCCTTCCTGTTCATAGAAAAAAACACCTCAGACTTGCTGAAACTTGACCAGTGGAGCCAAATAGCAATCATGAAAACAGGGCATCGGTGTTTTCAATTCATTGCTTTCCTAAAAGTTGAAAGAGGCCCTAATTGAGGTGTTAGCAGATAGATTGTTGGAAATATTTTTAATGGTAAATAATTCAAGTTTTGGCATGTAACCAAGAAGGAATCCAAAGAATTGAATGGCATCATTATAAACAAAATCTCATTGTCCGTCTACTTTTTTGTATGGATAAGGTTTCTCAAGGATTAATTTTTTATTTAGTATTCTTTTAAGGAACCTGGGAGCGTTGGTTCACACCTGTAGTCCCAGCTACTTGGGAGGCTGAGACAGGAAGATCAATTGTGCCCAGGAGTTTGAGGTTGCTGGGAGCTATGATGACGCCACTGCGCTCTAACCAGGATGACAGAGACTCTGTCTTAAAACAAAAAATATTTCAGCTTTGGCCATTGGGAGCTCTTTTAGGTTGGCTCCTGTGTCCTTTTGACATGTCCCCATTTTTTTTAAACGGTTATCTTTACTTTCTGGCACTGTAAGATGCTTGCATTTTCCCTGCCTCAGACCTAAAATTGGCCACGAGAGCTTGGTTTCTTTTAATAGAGAATTAGATTTGGGCAGTAGGCGTGTTTGTTGCTATTATGGGTATTCATTGCTTATATGCCTGTGCAGAGAGAGCTAGGAAATATATTTGTATATACTAACCATGTATACAGAGATATCAACATTTCTGTATCTACCTATGTATAAAAATTAGTTCATATATGTACCTTTGACTGTACTCCAACAACATAGTATTCATTATAGCTTTCCCCCTTTTTTGTGATTTCTTTGACTACGAGTAATCTGGCAATATCCCAGATTTGTTGCAGATTGGTTAATCTGTACATTTGTGGAAAACAAATTATGAATAAGTATATAGTGTTTATTTCTTTTTTCTTTCATCTTACATAATCTAGTCAAATTCTGTTCTCCAAAGTTACTTAGGTCAGTTATTTATAGCTAGTAAGATACAGATGATGAAAAAAAGAAGTGAAATTATATAGTGTGTTAGAGGTGCTAAAAAGATAAAGCAGCGAAGGAGGGATATGTAATATCTATAGGGAAGTGAGTTGACATTTCAGATAGGATACTTAAGGAATGCCTCACTGAGGTACTGCTAATGACCTGAAAAAAATTAATCAAGTTACCTGGCTCTCTCAGCTTCAATTTCTTCATCTATAAAATGAGCACAATATTATCCACTCCAGTCAGTCATTGGGAGGAATGTATTAACTGTTAGTTACAAATAGCTTAGTAGTGTCTATTACCCAGTAAATACTTTGTATTATTATTTTATTTCATGTATGAATTACTACTAAAGTTTTAAGAAAACTTGTAAATATTTGTTACAGAATTTAACACACAAAACTCACAGATGTTGAAAATTTGGATAGGTGGTAGAACCCTCATTTATGTGGCTGATCATAAGGCTCTTGTTAGAATTTATGATTTGACACCCTACTGCATCCATTCCATGTTAGTTTGCCCTTAGTCATTGCCTCAGATGATTGAAACTTCTTATTCAGTGGAGTAACCTGTGAAGAATCGTGAAGGGTTTGAGATTTTACTCCTTTAGAAAGCTTTCAAGTTAGCCTGCCCCAGTTTCATGGATTCTGGCAGAAGACATGAGAGTCCTGTGTTAGAGACTAGGGAAGCTAACTATTCACAGCATGGTCATCAGCATGTTTGTATGGTTCTTTCTCCTTGTTCCCAAATCCTGTGGAGGCAGCACATATGGTACCAGGTGATTGTTGTACACAGGAGACAGGAGAACTCTGTTCTCAGGGAACCCTAATCTTTTATAATAGATAGAGACACTGTCTTCCAAAGATGTAGGGAAAGGTTCCCTTTGCTCTAGGGGGAAATACTATCTCTAATATTGTTCACTATACAAATATCCTTGAAAATACATTGCTGAATGAAGGGCTATTAGTGTCTTGCTTGTAAGAAATGTGAGAGTCCCATGGAGAATATCTTCCAACATAATCTTTGTTTCTGAGAGATGAATGTTAAGGGCATGCATGTGGTTGCTATACATATTCTGCCACTAATTTAGAAGCACTAAGAGATTGCTTCAGGGACCACTGTGGAGCCAGCCACACTCCTGCCTGCCTCCTTTGTTTAGCAACAACCCTATTTCCCCCTGATGATTAGAACCTGTCATTGTAGCCAACACCTTTTTTAACAGTTTGACATCTGTAAACCCAAATGACTAGGTGGCAACCTCAGATTCTAATTTAATGGTACAACTGTTGTGTCCCCAGTGGAAACATACCTTGAATATACTAAGAGCTCTGGCCAGTAGAATTGGACAGAAAGCGTATGTTTGAAGGAGCTTATTAGGTATAACAGTGAGAGGTGGCATTTCCTCTTTCAAGCCTCAGTTACTGGACCCATGTATTCTGTATATCTTTCCCAGTTCAAGGAACCACTGAATATTTAGTAGGCTATTCCACTGTTCTGTAAGTCCTTTTGTATCTGGGTAATGATAAAACTAGTAAAACCCCAGAGCATCAGCTTGGTTTTACTGTAAGGTAGGTAAATTTTCATTCTGTTAAAAAACAAACAACCAGTAATGGTAAAGTGTTTAAACAGAAAATTACTATTTATGTTTGATGCTAAGGGGTCAATAAATATCATCTGCTTCCTCCTTTCCATAGGTTGAAACTGAGAGGCCCAGATATCAGAAATATGGAGGCTATAAAAAAAGTTTCATTACTTATTCTAAAATGGAAGCCATGGCTCAGATGTGCAGTCAAATGGAATGCTTTCTAAACAGATACTCTTACCAGTGCAAGCTAGAGAAATCCTGTTGCTCCTTACAGCATGCATAAGAAAGGAAATCAGAATTGCATCCTTCTTATGGGAAGGCTTGCTTGAAAGGGTGAAAAGTGGGAAAGGCTGAGCTCATTTTCTTCTCTGAAATTACCAAAGAGATTAAGTCACTTCGAGGGAGGAGTAAATAAGGTACCGGGAGAAAAACCGGGTTATTATTTTGGTGGAAGTTCCTCCAAGTGGAAACACAAGGTCAGGGAAAAGGAGCTTATCAAGGAGAATTAATTTAGCAACTTTTTTTTGTTTATCTTGTACGATTTCACTTGGTGGGTGACCTGATCAGTCAACCTATATTCATTCTGAGAACCCAAGCATTGTTACTACCTCCTGATGTCACTCCCCAACATGTAGACATCTGAGTGTACACCTAACAACCCTCCTGACAGCATTTGCTGTTAGGTGCTTTTTCACAGCACCTTACTCCAAAAATGCCTCCCAATATCTGATAGCTCTGTGAGAGCTTTCCTAAAGGGCTATCTCATATCATCTGAACAAGCTGTTTGAACCTGAGTGCAAAGCCTCTCTGGCCTAACAGGTGAAGCAAATGAAGCTTACAAAATCAGAATTTAATTATTGAGTATTGCTCAATTAAAGCTTGTATAGCCATCCATCAGATATTTTTAGCTAAAGATACTCTATGCCTGAGGTCTCAAAAGAAAAAATTATAGAGGTTCTGCTTAAGTGATTTTAGAATATGTGCTAGTGACACAGGGAGGTGAGTAGGCATCTAGTTCTGTATGCAGGAGGCACAAGCATATGGCACTATCAGTTTTCATAAAAAATGACCAGTTCAATACAGGTAATCAGGTTTCTTCAGTTAAACTGTAGAAGACACCACTATGGTGAAAATGGAGAACATTCTAAAGAAATTCTATTTAAAGTGTGGTTCAGGGAATGAGGATACTCCATGAATTGTTACTCTTCAACAGGTACAGAAATTGAGAGTGTTTAGAAATTCTTATAGCAATTGATAGAACACTTAGCTCTAATAATAAAATTGAATCTAATAATTAAAAATTTGAGCTTATATTTTATATATCCCTGGGTATTTTTTTTTCATTTTTCATTTTGGATAGTTCTTACTGTATTTTACAAGATTATTGCTTTGTGCTAGATGGGGATTTTAAAAAAATGGTTCTTCACTACAAATAGTTTCCAAATCACAGATCTCTAGTGAGCCTAGAAGTATAGTCTTTACATACAGGAGAACAAAATTCTTTAATTTTGTTGTGTTATTAAAATTTAGAGATTATTTGGATGTATCATGTGATTTACTAGAATAGGATAAGGTACATGATACTAAAAAAAAAAACTTTAAGTAGACCACCTAGAAACTTTGTAATCTAGACAGTTGGCTGTACCTTGCTCTTATTCATTTAAGAATAAATTTTAGAGATCTGTTGCTTTTTTATAGCTGCACACTATACCAGTGAATGGATCTGTCATGTTTTATTTAGCCTGTCTTCTATTGATGGGCATTTGGATTGTTTCTAACCATTTATTACAAAGAATACTGCAATGAACATGCTTATATAATTATTTCACACATGCAAGTACTACATAGCCAATAGTGAGACTGTTCAGTAAGAGATTATATGCCTTTGTGATTTTGATAGCTATTATCTAATTGTCCTTTCCGGGAGTTGTACCAATTTACTTTCCCACCAGCAGTTAACAAATATAGTTTTCTCATGCTTTGTACAACAGTCACAGAAATTTTGGATAGTTACAGATTTATTTTAATTTGTCCTTTTCTTTTGTAACATTATCACAGTAAGTACCAGAGCTAGAGTAACTTTATACTTATCATTTTTTGGTAGTCATATCAATAATATTGGAAGCCATGGGAAATTTTTATCATTCAGA